GGACGAGGGTAGTTGCTCATTGACGGGTGGCATAGCGTCACAGGGAGTCCGTAGCCCAGAGCCAATTCTTTTGACGCAAGTGGCGATGGACCTTCGTCTTGAAGGATTGGAGAGACTTCAACTGGGGCATCGGGTCCGGAAACATGTCTTGCGGAAGCCTGTTCCATTCATCCACTACACCATATGGGAACGAACGCTGGAGAAAGTTGGGGGCCGTAGGGAGGAGCACTGCTTGTAGCTGATGCTGGTGGCGGACACGGAGCTGCGACCTTGTCCGCGGGACGAGGCTAGCTTCCTGGCGAGGCGGCACGAGCGCAGAGAGATCTGGATGGTCTTGAAGGCACATTATTAGCTTGTACATGTACGTGAGAGCGTACACTTGGCGGCGGGCAGCTAGGCTCTGCAGCAAGGCGTCAGGACCAATGATAGCAAGGGCCTTCCGCTGTACTCGGTCGAGACTTTGCAGGTGAGAGTTGGCTGCGCCCATCCATGTCAATGGTGCGTATTCGAGTACAGGGCGTACGAAGCCTATGTACGTTGTCAAGCGTCCTTCACGACCAAGGAAACTTGATGCTCGACGCAGAAATCCTAGTCGGGCTACGGCACGAAGAGAAACATTGCGGAGGTGGCGTCTGAAGGTGAGTTTGCTGTCGAAGGTCACTCCCAGAAGCTTCAGCTCGTCCCCACAGGGAATATCATGGGCTCCGAACGTTAGGTCTGGGAGTGGCCAGGGGTTGCGGTGGTGGCCAATATGCAGCAGCTGCGACTTTGTCGGCTCAAAGCGAATTCGCCATTGTTCTCCCCATCTACTCAATCGATCCAGGCTAGATTGCATGTCTGCAATACTGCCAGCAGAGTCATGTCTGGATCGTATGATGGTGTACAGCGTGGTGTCATCTGCGTACACACCCATTCGTGTTGATGGGGAAAGACAGGTCTCAGCATCGTTGACATACATCAAGAATAAGGTGGGTCCCAGGATGCTGCCTTGGGGTACGCCAGCTTTAATCTGGAATTGAGCAGATTCCTGTCCATTGACGATTGCGCTTAGTGTGCGATTCCGCAAATAGTCCCGTGGCCACTGCAGCAGGCTACCGCCAATACCGAGAGTGGCCGCTTTGTGTAGGACGCCGGGGTGCGACACGCGGTCAAACGCACCAGCAATGTCGACAGCCAGGACGTGGGCACAGCCACCAGAACCAGCTGCCAGCGACCAATCATGCCCAAGCACTGCTAGTAGGTCCGCTGTTCCAAGGCCACTGCGAAATCCGTACTGCTTGGGTGACAAGAGATGATGTTTTTCAAGGTGATTCACAATTTGACAGTTAACAATACGCTCCATCACTTTGGAGATGATGGGGAGGAGGGAGACTGGGCGGTAATTCTTAGGGTTGGATAGGCTGCCCTTCTTGTAGACTGGCACAACTCGAGCACTCTTCCAGGCCTCTGGCTGGACACCCTTACGGAAGCACAGGGCGAAGAGAGACGTGAGAGGCGATGCAAGTTCATGGGAGCACTCTTTGAGCACTCGGGCAGGTATGTTGTCCGGACCGGACGCCTTGCCAACGTCGAGCTGGTTCAGGAGGCGTTTCACTGTTTGCAGGCGGAAGTGGATTCGGCTAAGTGGGGTGACCCCGGGTTGGCGAACATGAGGGAGATCCTCCGGGCCCAAGTCATCATCTCCAAGGCTACATTTATTGGCGAAGTAGCGACCAAGGCAGTTCGCTTTGGCAGCATTCATACGGAGTTGGTGACCAGCGTCATCTACCAAGCATGGTATAGACGAGCCATGACTGGCGCCAGCAGCAGATTTGAGCACCGACCACCATTGCTTGTCTTTCACTGTTTCAGGTCTCCGCGTGACAGTTTCCGACGAACTCTCAGTTCCCAGGATGTGCGAGCTCGCACATTCGCGAGGATAGCATCTTCTACTGAGCGCATGAAGCAAGCCTTGTGGGCTTCGCTGAAAATATTGTGTCTCCAGGCCTTCCATGCCTTGTCTTTAGTGTTCAATGCTGTGGTGCACTCAGGAGTCCACCATTTGGGGTCTGCTGGGCGGGTAACAAGCTGCTTGGCGGGGATAAATTTCTGCATGCCACTGGAGATGACGTCACTTAGCTTCCTGCAGGACTCTTCGGGGTCGTCAGTCACAATGGTGGACCAGTCAGTAGTGCGATAGAAGGCCCGCAGGCGCCCCCAGTCTGCCTGATTGTAGCGCCAGACAGTCCTGGAGGTAGCTTGCTCAGCATCAGGGGTGAGGTAAAAGTCGGCAAGAACAACCCCATGGTCAGAGCGACCAAGTGGCGCTTTGACAGTGGTGTCGATAGGAACGGGCATGTTGGAGAGGATGAGGTCCAGGGTGTTTAGACCCCTAGTCGGCTGCAAGACATGCTGGTGGAGTTGATGCTCAGCACACAATTCTTCTAAGGCCTCTCCAGCTACAGTTGTTTTGCTGCTGCAGAGCCAAGTCTCGTGATGGACATTAAAATCCCCAGCTAGCACTATGTGAGTGCCATGAGTGCGGGCCACGTCTAGTGCAGGTCCAAGATACTCAATCAGACAGGTGTCGTTCTCCGCACAGGATCCAGGCCGATACAAGGCACCGATAACAACAGATTGTTGCGTGGAAAGACTCACGGCGAGCCAGCTATGCGGAGTATAATAGTCACCATGGCGGTGTGCAGCATCCCATGTCCAGTATAGCTGCCGCATTTCAATGTATGCATGTGCAGTCCTCCGTGCCTATGATGTTGCCATTGATGTCCACCATACCTGCGTGTTGAAGGTGTACATTCATGATCTGGGCACCTTCAACAAAGGTCTGTTACCAGTATCACTGCAGAAGTGCACCAATATCACAGACCTACACGTGTACCGATCTACTGTGCATTGGCGCCAGCTGATCTCCATTATCAAGTCTTCGTGTACTCACCTGAGAACTATCCTTCTTCTGTCATGTAACCTAGGCAATGACAGCATGACTCCAGGCCCAGATGATTCTCAGCTGCCATGTAGTGAACAAAATGCAGCAGCTGCAGCAGACAACCACACCGGTTGCACCCCTGCACCACTGCTCCTAGCTGAAGCTCTTTCCAATGTTCCTCGTCTTCAGAGAATCTCTATTATGGATTGCAGAGGCATCAGTGGAGAGCATGTGGACATGATTTGCAAGGCACTGGGTCACTAGTGCATCATGCCTAGAAGAATTTCAACTTTTGAAGTCTGGATTCCCGTGTGTCGGTGTCCTGGCAGAAAACCTTCGTACAGCCTGGCCGATGATGACACAGCTGCTCATCGATGATAGGGGTGGGCAATTGCAACAGGAGAAGATAACCGACGATGACGTCGCTGCGTTTGTGCATGCTGTCAAT